ACGAAGGTCTGTATAACTGCCAGCTGTAAAGCTATAGACAAGAAATGTTGTTGTGGAAGATTTATTAAAATATAATGGAATAGGATTCCTCTGAGACAGGCAAAATGATTGGAAACAATAGTGAAGCAGGCCAGCATGTTGCAATACAAACTGGATAATGAGACCAATTGATCTTAGCTTAATACCCAAGAAAGAAGACAGTAGCCACAGAAAAAAAAATTATCCCAAAGCAGGTGAAACTGGACCCAGAAATGAATACCAGTAAAGCACAAAAAGGTGATTCCCTGCCTTTTCAATTACACAAAGAATAAGATGACCAAACCACCGGCATAACCAATGAAATACCAGCTCATAGAAACACATTGTGAATGTGGATAGAAAAATGCTGTGCAATCAAGTCTCACCTTGTTTGTTGATATATGTCACTACAATCAACATGTCTGTGAGTACTAAAACACAGTGGTGGTGTAACAAGGATATAAACTCCCAATACTTATGTAAAACAGCCCAAATCTGTAAGAAAATAATGTGCAAATGAAACATTTGAGAATACTATAGTTCTAAAAGTCCTCCAATACATCACCATATACTCAGAGATGGCATTAGTGAAAAAATCCAGATTCTATCATACCCAAATCAGAAAGAATGTGTTTGGCAGATGGAAAAGTATGTGCACCTATAACTCAGCGGATTGCAAATCCAAAAGAGATGGATGGAGAGTTCCTAAGGGAGTGTTAAAATGAAATCTCAAATGAACGAGATATTGAACAAGTACAAACTGACTTGTGAATAATTCATCCCAGAGAAGAAGTTAATGGAAGTCAGTTCAGTGCCAGGCAACCACTAATCATCTGATCATCCATAAATGAGTGTGTGTAGAAGACCAGCTAGTGGTCTGATTACATGTTTAAAGACAAAGAGTGACAAAGCCAGAACAAAAAAGAAGAGCCATTAACTAAGAAATCTTCCCACTATGTGAAAAACAAAGATAAGGGAATCAGAGCATGTAAATATGTGTCTTTGAAACTCCCATTTGTCATCCAAATACTTTGACAAAGAAACTTTCATAAGATTCCTACAGGTTCCATCTAAAAAGGAGGAATTATCTAGGTAACAAATGAGACTGAAAAGATTGAAGACCAGTCTCCAATCTCTTGTCATCTTTGATACTTCAACGACAGTAAAAACCTCAAGCTCCCTTGTTGTGGAAACTTTTTTAAACTGGCAGATCCAGATCAAATAGAAAATGAAAAAGTTACATGTAGAACACAGAAGACAAGAATATGATGAACCCAAGTAACATGAAGCAAAGGGTTCACAGATGAATAAATATCTGATATGACCCCCAAAATTCCAGATGAAAGATTCATTATTCAGAGCAATGAGTAAGTCATAAGGACCCATCCTACTTACATCAACATTAGACCACACTAAAAAAGTATAAGTAGATGTAGGGAGTATCAAAGAACATTACATATGGAACTCTAGAACACTGGAATGATGAATAGTGCAAAATGAGATGTTAAAACCCTAATCAATTCCTGCTGGTAAGCTTCCCATGAACAGGAAACAAGTTAAAGTGAACTACTTGAAAAAAGACTTAAATTGAAGTTTTTTGTTTTTTTTTAAAGAGTACCTTAAACATATGCCAATGAGTAAAAGTGTCAAAGAAACATAAGAGCTATGTGGTAACAGAAGCTCTAGCAGTAAGATCTACTGTAAGAAATACATCAAAGTAGATATGTGATCTTGACTAACATAATCAGGAGAATAAGTTTAATTATTAATGGTGCAGAAAAAAAAAGTATCAAAATAAAACATATAATATCCCAGGTAGAAAGCTGATGATGGGTCAAAGTAAAAACAAAACAAAACATGTGGATGGCCCCTCCAAGAACCAAATTGAAAATCACAAAGCACTCCCTGGTGTAATGAAAATAGGTTCAATATTCAAAATTAAGGATGCATAGGTAGTAAAATTTCACAGAATACTGGTTCGGGGTACCCGGTCACTATATTTCGGCCCGTGGCCGGATGTCAACCGAGATAGGGTTCTCCCCTCACCCTCCCAAAAACATAAACAACATACACAAAAATTAGAAACAAAAACAAAATTGATGTTTATTACATTTAACCGAATAATCACCAACAGAACATTCATGTTTTACTTTCAACTTTCAATGCCTAGCCTCAATTTCTCAAACACTAACCCCTATTGTTCTCAACCCCCCTCTCCAGAACTCCACTTCTCAAGCCATGCCTGTTATTAACCCCTATTGTTCTCTGAATCTCCAACTTTCAGCAAGCAGTCAATCTTTGTTGCTTAGAACACGTTTTTTTTTTTAACTAAACCAATTATTGATTGTAACTTTCAGTTCCGTGTAAATTGCCATAAAGTTTAAAGCTTAGACACCATTTTTAATTACCCAGATTTGGCTGTTTTTAACTTCGACACTTGGCCGGAGCAAATACTATTGGAAAGTCCAATACCCAGCCGGGGCCAAATATCTGACTGAATACCTGTGCATCCCTACTTAAAACATATAACAAACCTAAGAGAAAAATAAATGAGAATAGCAGAAGTGTCATCAGGATTAGGGTTAACAATGAGGAAGAAAAATCCAGATCTGGGGACTCTGAAGGTCATTAGGCATGAGCAAAATATCATTCTTCATCAAAAACAAATGAAAATCATGACTTTTATACAATTGAAACATCTACACAATTGTTATAACCACCATAAATATCAGTATACAATGGCATGTTGAATCATCACAGCTGATACTGCAACTACAATTCACCCTGTGCACTTCTAGCAATTTGCATAAGTAAGGTCTCCAACTAAATCACAAAATTCTGGTAGTAGCAGAAACGTTTGCATCCAAGAGAAGTCGCAACAAAATTAACAGCAAAACTGTTAACAAGAAAATATTAATAATGGCAGAAAAGCAAAGCTTATGTAAGACCCCCTGACATTTGTACAACGCGTCACCTGGAAGGTGGGAGAGTAGATATTAGGTCATCAAGAAATTAATGTTTAGTATACTCTAATCCCTTGTAGTGATGGCACATGAGACACACATTCAGCATGTAATGCTCTTTGAATACAAGGCAAACAATGTCTCTGTAGCTACAAAGAATATCAAAGAAGTTTATGGAAATGTTTTGAACGTTCGTAAGTGTCAACAATGGTTCAA